AATCCCAGCTGCTCTGGATGCCAAGGCAGGAAGGATCACAGGTTCAAAGCCAGCCTCAGTAATTTAGTTAGGCCTAAGTAACTTAGCAAGACCTTGTCTCAAAACATAAAATAAAAAGGACTGGGGATATGGCTCACAGTAGTTAAGTGCCTCTGGGTTCAATCCGTAGTACAAAAAAAAAAAAAAAAAACCTTCAAAAAGAATATTCAGGAACCTCAGGCATAGCAGGACTTTGATGGCACAGAAGAAATATACAGGGTTTCCATTAGAAAAAAAAAAAAGTTGGGAATGCAAAATGGTACAGATGTCATGAAAAAGTTAAGCTCCTAAAAAAGTTAAACTACATAGAAGTACCATATGACTCAAAAATTTCACTCTGAAGAATGTACCCCAAATAATTGAAAATAGGTACTCAAACATCTAAGCACACATCTTCATAGCAGCACTATTCACAATAGCCCAAAGGTAGGAAGAACCCAAATACCTGATATGTGAATAAACAAAGTGGCAAAACCACACAATGGAATATGATTGAATCCTAAAAAAGGAAGTGCTGATGCACAGTACAATGTGGTGAAAGTCAGTCTCAAAATAGCACAAATGGTATGATTGATTTACAGGAATTATCGAGAGTAAGTAAATCTATGGAAATAGAAACCAGATCAGTGGTGCCAGGGAATGGGAAGAGGTGAGAATGGATAGCAAGTGCTTAGTGAGTATAGAATTGTGTTTTGAGGTATTGACAATATTTTAGATGTGGACAGAAGTAATGGTTGCACAACATTGTGAATATACTAAATGTCACTGACTCATTCACTTTAAAATGGATAAACTTAGGTTTTGTGAATTTTACCTCATGAAAGCATATATATGAGTGTACTTTCTTTGTAATAGCTGAGAAGGCGGAGTGTTCTCAGGAAAATCACTAGTGTCTAGCTCTTCTGGGCCTTTGTTTTCTTTTTTTTTTTTAATATTTATTTTTTAGTTTTCGGCGGACACAACATCTTTGTTTGTATGTGGTGCTGAGGATCGAACCCGGGCCGCACGCGTGCCAGGCAAGCACGCTACCGCTTGAGCCACATCTCCAGCCCAGGGCCTTTGTTTTCTTATCTGTAAGAGAGTTAAGTTGGACTTGGTGACCACTAAGATTTCTTCTAGTTCAAATTCCAAGATCAAGAAGTTCAACATTCTTCTTTCTCCTCTTCTCTTCCACATGCTTAAAAATGGCTGCATTCTGAGCTGCAGATGCATGCTGGAAGACAAAGTCATATCTAAGTGACAAGGAAATTAATTGGTTTCAGTTATTAATATGAAAAGATATTTTAATATTTGATATGGTTGTATCTTAAGTGTTCCTCAAAAGCCCATATACTAAAGGGTTGGTCACCAGCCTGTGGTGCTATTGGGAGGTGGTAGAACCTTTGTGAGGGGAGACCTAGTGGGAGGAAGTTAGGTCATTGGGAGTGTGCCTCGAAGGGGCTATTGGAACCCTAACCCTTTCTCCCTCTCTTTTCTTTCTGACCACTATGAGGTGATGTACTAGTCTGTCACAGTCCCAAAGTGATGGGATCAAATGACTATGGACTGAAACTATGAACCAAAACGGATCTTTGTGCATCATAAGTTGATTATTTCAGGTATTTTGTCACAATGACAGAAAGCTGGGCACTAAGATTCATTATTGAAATGACACAAATTAATGGACAAATAACTAAAACAAATGCACTTTAACAATAAGCATGGGCTTTGTTTCTCTGATGCTCAATCTCAGAGCCCATGCCTGACTCCAGGTATCTCTCCCCTCTGTATAATCAAGCACTTTGATTTTTGACAAAGTATCTCTGACTCCTCTGATAAATGTAGTGCTGGTAACCCCAACTGATGGAGGGGTTCTTGATGAATTAATAAGTGCCCTTACCAAGCAGAGTTGGTGCCATAGGATTGAATTCCTCTCTAAACTGCCCATGCTTTGAAACCAAAGTCACCAGTTACTAGAGCTTCCTTAACCTATCATTCTAGTTACAACTTGACTAGTTCCAATTTTACTCTGAATTTATTGAAAAATTATTTGAACAGTAAATCAAATTACCCAGTCCTGGGATTTATAATCCTGGGTCAACATGTTCATTCTGGGAGGTGGGTATATAATTGTCTGTATTTTACTGACCAATTCCTCCTCTACCAGCTACTGTAGGTTTCTAGTCCTTTGCATATGCTCTAGAAGTATCCTATTCCTAGAAGTATACTTATTCCTAGAAGTATCAGTTATATCTAGAGAAAACCTTCAGCTAAGCCGGGCGTTGTGGCACACACCTGTACTCCAGGGTCTTGGGAGGTTGAGGCAGGAGGATCTCAGGTTTGAGCCAACTTTAGTAACTTATCAAGGCCCTAAACCACTTGGTGAGACCCTGTCTGAAAATAAGAACTGAAAATGGCTGGGAATATGGCTCAGTGCTAAAAGGCCCCTGTGTTCAATCTCCTGTAGCAAAACAAACAAAACCAACCACCACAACAATAAACTTCAACTAGAAAAATTATGGCCAAGGATTATGTGTCATTTGTTCCCTTTTTAAATTCTGGTTCTCTTCAGGGATATCTACTTCTGCTACAACAGTCCACAAAGCTACAAAAACTATAAGCCACTGCCCACCAGGGCCTATATTCAGGTCACCTCACACCAGTTTCCTCTTGGTCATTCTGTTGTCCATAGTGTCTCTGAAGGAAATCATCGGAGGGGTCAAAGTGGCTTCTGGCTACATGGGATTCAAACAGAAGTAGGGAGAAGATCTTTCTCACTTTTATTTTTATTTTGGCACTGGGATTGAACTCAGGGGTACTCTACAACTAAGCTACATTCCCAGCCCTTTGTATTTCTTATTTTGAGACAGGGTCTTGCTCAGTTGCCAAGGCTGGCCTGGAACTTGCAGTCCTCCTGCCTCAGTCTCCCTAGTAGTTATATATTAAGCTGTGCCAGCCCCAGTACTATTGACTAGGCATCTACTATGTGTTAGGCACTGGGGTTCCAAGGATGATGGGTTCCTGTCATCAAGGAGCTGCTGTGGGAATTTAGATGACAGTTTTTTGAGTCCTGGCCAGCTCAAGCCTTTATCCCAAGGAGGTGTAGCTCCCATTGTCATACAAAAGTGCCAACTCATCACTGATTTGGCAGGACCCCTGCTCTCAATATAACTAGAAGTTTCACCAAAGTTTCTTAGACCCTCCACCACTGACGCCCCTCCTGAACATCCCGCTGGCTTTAACTTGACCACATGTCTCTGCTTCTATCATATAGCAGTATCTTTCCATTTTCTATGCTTTTATTTTTGGGTATTAGGGAATGAGAATCCAGGGGCTCTTAATCACTGAGCCACATCCCCAGCACTTTTTTATTTTTATTTTTTTATTTTGAGACAGGGTCTTGTTAAGTTGCTTAGGGCCTTACTAAATTGCTGAGGTCCTGCTTCAACATCCTGACTTGCTGGGATTACAGGCGTGCACCCCACCCTTACCTTTTGTTCTTGATCTGAACTTCACTCCATTTCTCCATTCTGAGCCAGATAGAGAGGGCAATTGGAAGAGTTAAAGTGAAAAGGCTGTAGGGAATTGTGTACAAAATAAACAATACCTGCAGAGCCAGTACATTCTTTTGTTCAGCCTAAATGAAAAAACCTGAGGGCACAATAATGTGAACTAAAAATGTGGAAATGGCTTGGCTTGTTATTTATGAAAAATTTTCCCCTAATTCTGATCTCTGGTATTTGGAAGGAAAGGTAATAAAAAATATGCAAAGCAATCAGCTTATCTGTGGAGAATTGGAAGTGTCCAGCTCTCTCATGTGAGTGCAGCTGCTTGTGGAAAAAGTGAGAGGAGAGACCTGGAATAGTGACCTGGAGTGTGACTTGGGGGAGGGGGGCATGCCCATGTCTACTGTTACATGAACATGTGATTAATTTTGAAGGTAGAATTTCAGAACATCATATCGTAGCAAGAAGCTTGAATGACAGTCATAAACAAGAATGAAATTATGCCATTTGCAGGAAAATGGATGGAATTTGAGAACATTACATCAAGTGAAATAAGCCAGGCTCAGAAAGTCAAGGGTCATATGTTTTGTTTCATATGTGGAAGCTAGAGCGGAAAAAGGAAAAGAAATGTGGGAGGGCCGTCCCTTGAAAATCAAGGGAGATCAGTAGCACAGAGGAAATGGACCAGGAGAAGAAAGGATGGAAAGAAAAGGGGGAATACTGGAGAAAGATATTGCCAAATTATATTATATGCATTATGAATATTTAACAATGAATCCCACCTTTATGTACAACTAAAATGCATACACAAAAAAGAAGCCTGAGTGATAAGTGAACGAAATTATGTGGCAAAGCAAAATACAATATTATAGGGGTCAGCAGATATGATCTAGCATTTCCTCATTGTGCATATCCCCTTCGTTTAGCATATAGGGCATGCACACAGTAGAGGCTAAGAGAAATATTTGTTAACGGGTTAATCTAAGTTAAAACTGGATTTCTTTCACTCTCTTAGTGACATAAACCTCCTGACCTGGGTCAAACAGCAGAGAAAAGGGGAATAAGGAAAGACTCCAGGTAAAGCTAGACTGAGACCACTGTTTAATAAATATATTTGCTCCTGGGTTTATCATCTTGCTCAGAAGCCTGTGAGGTGACTATCCCAGAATGTGGCAGTGAACTGTGTTGTTAATTTCATGTACATTTCAGAGTGAGGATCCAGATTTTCAAATTTGAAGCGGGATTTTATGCAAAACAATATGCAAATCGAGAGCACGCTAAAATATCCGTCTGTTCTCCAGCCTTTGCCGGGTCACAAACAACTGAGGTTGCAGCGGAGCTCGCCCGGATCCTCCGGGAGGGGTAGATCGGGAGGGGTAATCGGTTGGGGGAAGGGCTGTCCTGGAGGCGTTCCCAGGGCGGGGCAGGGGCGTGGCCCGTGACGCGCCGAGGTCTGCCGGCTTAGGGGCCGGACCTCACCCTCTCCCCGCCTCCGGCCGCCGGCGCAGCAGTGGTGGCTAGTCATCTCCAAAAGGGGCCCTCCGACTCCTCGCGGGCCAGTCCGGCCCTTGGTCGTGGCGCCCTGGAGTACTCTCTCGGGTCCCTGAGCCGCGATCCCTTTTCCCCAGAGTTGTGAACAACTTTCCCCGGTGTCTGGCGCTACTGTGGCTTGGGGACCTTTGCCGCTGCAGGTTGCTGAACTCCGGGCCCCGCACCTCGGCTTCGCGCTTCTTAGGTCCACTCCCTTTTCTGGTGCACCCTGGGGGTCCCCGACCTCGGCTTTAAGGGCGAGATGCCTCTAGGACACATCATGAGGCTGGATCTGGAGAAAATCGCCCTGGAGTACATAGTGCCCTGTCTACACGAGGTCGGCTTCTGCTACCTGGACAACTTCCTGGGCGAGGTGGTGGGAGACTGCGTCCTGGAGCGTGTCAAGCAGCTGCACTACAACGGGGCCCTGCGGGACGGCCAGCTGGCCGGGCCGCGCGCCGGAGTCTCCAAGCGGCACCTGCGGGGCGACCAGATCACGTGGATCGGGGGCAATGAGGAGGGCTGCGAGGCCATCAGTTTCCTCCTGTCCCTAATCGACAGGCTGGTCCTGTACTGCGGGAGCCGGCTAGGCAAATACTACGTCAAGGAAAGGTCCAAGGTAGGACGCGCTCGGGCGCCCCACCGCAGCTGCCGCGGGAATCGGAGGCATTCCGAATCTGTTGTACGTGGCCCTCGCTGGGCTGCAGTGAACTTTGGTTTTTAATCAAAAAGTCATCCTGATTTGTCCTCTTATATCCTTTCTTATCTCCCTCTCCCGCCCCAGATCCTCTGAGCGAAAGTCCATGTTAAGTCAAGGGACTCAGGTGTATCATTATGATGACCTCTGTTGACTTTGAAATAATTGTTCTGGTGGGTGATACAAACAGAACAACTGTGGCTGTTGGTCCGATTTTAAGACATGAAGATTCTCAAAGATCCAAATGAGCGAAAGCATATTAGAGACACACATGTACTCATAATCTTAAATGCCTACTTAAGTAGCCACTTAATCCTTTGGTTGTGGTCAGAAGGGATTGCTACAACAGCACTCCGAATTCTGGAGTCACTTGCGATTTTGCCTTGTGGCAGTTGGGTTTGTGGAATTTGGCAGGGGTGAGAAGGAAGAGTCTGACATGTCAAAGGCTAGAACTCCTCTTCCCTCTCAGTGCTGCCCTTGACCTCTCGAACCCAGGATACTGTTAGACCATCTACCTGACTGAAAATTCACTCCTACTGCTGGGCTCCACACCATCACCTTCCTTTTTCTATCAATTAATTGCAAAATCCACCCAAAACAACCAGCTAAGTGCTCTTGAGAATGGTCAAGTGTCTCAGGGTAGAAAGCATATTTTTGTACACATAGTGGGAAATGATTGATTGCTTGGGTGGTAATTTATCTTGGAAACATTTACAGTAGATTGACAAAAATTGGCAACATGTAGGTATCATGATGTTGGTGCATGTACTTTACTTTGGGATAGTCTTGCTGTTCAGTCTTTCTTCCTTCAAATGACAGTCCAGCCAGTTTTCCAGTGGCAGTTCTTTCATGCTCTCCTAGGATGGTCTGGTCAAGGAGCGCTCAGAATGATGGAAAACTTGTCCTTAAGCACAGTGAGGCAGAGAGCATACTAGCATGTGAGGAAAAATGAACACTCACCTTTGTACCATCCTTTGACAATAAATGTAATATTTCTCAATTTAAGGTTTATCCTGTGATAAACTATTATCTCATTTTCCCCACAAGCTGAGAGGAGCACTCTTAATGAGACTGAAAATATGAAGTGGGTTGAGATGGGTGAGTGGGATGGGCAGCCATGGATTGCTATCTATCTTTCTAACCAGGAGGACAAGGATCTGCAAGCATAGTAGTAAATGGACACAGAGTAAATCTTAGAAGAAAATGTTGCTTTCGAAATTTTACTTTGATTTGGGAAAAGTTCAGAATTGAACTCTGTTGAAGTTTTTTTTTTTTTTTTTTTTTTACTTCCATGGGTTTGTGGTGTTGGATTAGAAAGTCATTTGTCTTTTGATCAGTTTTGTTTTGCACTGAATGACCTTGCTGTTCTCCAGGGGTTGGAGAGGGGGAGGGGAGGGGGGAAAAAGGGAGAGGGGGAGGGAAAGCCTTAGTGTGGTGGAGGTGCTTATTGCTTCAACCTGGAAGAGCAAATGGCTTATCATTTTTTTTTTTTTTTTGAAAGTTTCTTCTAAACTCAGGTGTTAGGAATTCCACCCCTCTCCACCCCAGCATTCTAGGAACACAGTTTTGCTCTGAAGGAAGTCAACTAGTAGAATGATGATGTCACTAACATTTGAAAGTTAAATATTTTTATCTAGTTTTGTCTTAATTGATGAGGATAGGGTTTCAGGCGAGAAGTTAACTCAAATGAAATGAAAATGCTGTGTAAGTCAGGGTAAGGAAAAAAATCTCTAGATATGATTCTTCAGTCATGGGTTATCTTCTGGGTGGATAAATAACTTTTCAGTTGACCCAGTCAGAAGGTGACTGTGAGATAGAGAAAACTCATCTTGCCTGCTGAAAAGACATCTGGCCACACCCAGATTCCAGCTTTACTTTGGCTATTTTGGCACAAAGCTCTTCATTCCTGTCTTTAGAAAAATCACCTCTAGGTTGGAGTAATCCCTGGTCAATTAGAACCAAGACACAAACCAAGCTTGAGCAATTAGTATTTTTTTTTTTTAAAGTTTGGTTTGCTTGTCTAAAGAAGTCTGTGACCTTGGGTCTTGTATTCAAAGTTCATTATTAAAGCATTGGAGAAACACCCATTCTGTATGCTATATGTTAGTTTCACCTTAATGTAACCTTTTTTCTTTTTTACTGGCTTTTCTCCTTCAGTGGAGTCCTTTGTTTGGGCTGCTTCCCAGAGTAGTGATGTACATAGACCCAATTTCCTGCTGTATCCTTTAAACAGGTTTTCAGTAAAAGGTAAATTTTCAAAAGACAGAATTTGTACATATATTTTAAACTTATTTGTAGCATTCTATTAAACTTTTCAAACAGACAAATGTAGAGGCTAATATGAGTTCCCTTTACCCAGTTTCAACAATTGTCAATATATACATGTAGTTTAGACCAACTGTTTTTTAAGTACTTTAGATTTCTTGGGGTTATACTTAGGAATGCATACATCCTAATGAACTTAAATTTTTTTTTTTTTTTGCTGGACTCTTATTAAAGGTCATTGAATAATGTAATGTATATCTTTTTTTTTGATGTATGAAGAATTGAATTCAGTGGCACTCTACCACTGAACCACATCTGCAGTCCCTTTTTTTAAAAATATTTATTTTTTAGTTGTATTTGGACACAGTACCTTTATTTATTTATTTTTATGTGGTGCTGAGGATTGAACCCAGAGCCTCACAAGTGCTAGGCAAGTGCTCTACCACTGAGCCACAACCCCGGCCCTGTAATGTATATCTTAATGAATACATAGCAAAGGCAATAGAAATAAGCAAGAATATATACTGGACCTAAAACTGAAATAATGAAAGAATTACTTCCTGCCAAAAAATTACTATTGGTCAGAATTTATCTACTTAATCTTTGTTGGAGGAAAAAAAAACCCAGGGTGCTGAAGACCCACTCGGGGGAGTGGTTTTCTATAATGCACTGCAAAATGGCGCCCCCTAACTTCAAGTATGATCCTTGCTTTCATGCTAGCAAAGGATTTCTTATCGGTTAGTTACTCCCTCCTGGAGAGTTTAGACTATATCCAAGATAAATACTGGTTATAATTTGCTCTTTTTCTTTGGCTGCCTAAATCTTGTAAATGGCTGTTTTCCAGAGAACGTGTAATTTATAGAACCAAAAGTTCCCTCTGCTTGAAGCAGTTCAGTGTAGACTCACCAATTACTAACTCTAATGATAACAAAAAACTTTTATTGAGTAGTTTGTGCTGTCTGGTACCGTGTTAAGCACTATACAAATACTATCTTCAGAACCACAATCTTAAACAAATTGAGCACTTAAATAATTTGCCCAGGGTTTCAAAGTGGTAAGAAGCAGTTTATGAAAGGGGATAGGGGATTAGGTTTCCAGTTACTAAACCTCGTGGCCTTAAGTAAGTTGCTTAGGTTTCACCAAGTGTAAAAATGGGGGAAGATAATATTTAAAGTTTTTTTTTTTTTTTTTTAAGTCCTTGGGATAGAACCCAGAGCATGGTGCATGCTAGGCAAGTACTCTGCCACTGAGCTACGTCCTCTGCCCTTTTTAATTATATTTTAAGACAGGGTGTGACTGAGTTGCCTAGGCTGCCTCAAATTTGTGATCCTCCTGCCTCAGCCTCCTGAGTAGCTGGGCTTACAGGGGCTGACCCGCATGACTTGTTTACCAGAAAGCTTTTGAGAGGAAGAAACATTAAATAGATAATGTACATAAAATTCTTAGTAAAATTCTGATCTTCATCATTGTTAAAAGGCTTTAAGTGAAATGTGGGAGTCCAACCCAGATCCGTCTGACTCCAGAGTCTGTACTCTTAGCCATTATCTTCTCCCACTTCTTACCCCTTCATGTATTCAGCAGGTGCTGAGGGAGTAATACTTTGTGGGGTACTGTTTCAGAGCTGGGGGTACAACAGTGAGTATATTCATATATACCTTTGAATTTTAGGAACCTTTAGTGCACACTTGACTAATTCTTAAACTTTACGAAAAGACCAAACAGGAAAAAAAAAATATTGATGTCTGTCAGTTGAGTACATCTAAGAAGAAAGGGACTCCTGTGCTAGTATTTCTTATTATTTTTAGGAAAAGTATTAACAACATTGGATGTTGGGATTCCTAACCAAGGTGTCTCTGGACAGTGATGTTCTGAGGGTTGCATTGTGAACAGATGGACCAGTCTTTTTTCCTGGAACCAATCTAGAGGACTATTAAAGGACAAAAAGTTTATGAATAAAAGAAAAGGTATTACAAGGTGCCGTTGAACAGTAACAGTTTTGGCCCACCCTTCTCATGTGATGTTAGGAATATTCTGGTTGTTAGAACTTATCCTGGTTGCAAGCTACTTTAAGCAAACATGGGCTAGGATGTCTCTCAGGATCCAAGTGCAGGAAAGGCAATCAGTGTTCTCAGAAGACTGGAGCCATGAACTAGAAAGTCCTTCAGATTCAGGCCATCTGGTGTGTTAGTTCTTTTGAGTTTTTCGGCCTCCATTCTTGCTTCTCTGCTTGTGCACCTTATTTCTTCCCCTCTCTCCTTCTAATCAGATGGCTGCCCTATGATAGCCAGTGCAGCCTTCAGTTCCAGGTGAATGGAGGCTTGATTAACATTACAGAATTCATATTTTCATTGCCTTGGAGAGAGTCTGACTGTCCCACTTTGGCTCATGGGACCTATCAGCCTTGGTTGGGGTGGTGGGAGGCACATAAAATCAGTCATATGTCACAAAAATAGGGTTGCCAGAGTCTATGAGAGGTGTAGTTCTCAGAGCACAGAATTTGTGGTCTGAACACCATAGCCATATTTCTGCAACTAAAATCTTCAAAAGTCTGTGAGTAAGGTATTTTAGGGACTGAGGCACTGTTTGAACCTCTGAACATTTTTTTTTTATAAGGATTCCTATAAAAGGTAACTTATCTCTTGAAGGAAGGAAGTTAA